TCTTTCCCTGGCAGTTTTCCCCTCTCTAGGAACGGGGCACCTCCATGCTCTGTGACACCCTGGTACTTTGGAACAGGGTATGGCAATGAAACAGCAGTGATCTATGTGATCTTGCTGAGGGAGCCGGGCGGGGGGGGAGGTGTCAAATGACCATATTCCTTTTAAACTATTTAAATTGGCCCATACATGCTAAGGAGTGAAACACATATAGCACTGTTGAATCAACAGTATGTGAGACCAGAACAAAAATATTGGTACCTTTTACTGGGATTTTCGTCTTTCAAAAGTTTGCAGTACAGTAAGGTTGAGCATTTTCCCTCACAAACTATGATGCTATCATCTGTCTTAGATACCATGAGGGATAGGCCACTGACAGAACAGTCCTCTTGAATTCCTAAAATGAAAGACTCTCAGCTTTGTTAAAAACAGCACCTTCTGTATTCTACCCTTGACCTGAGGGCAGAGGGAGGTAGAAGGTGAAGCCCGGACAGCGGGTGAGACGGGGTGGATTCCCAAGAGCCGGCTCTGAGATGGGAAGGAACCTCGGCCATGCTCTACTGAGCTGCGAGACTGCAGCTGAAAGGATGACACTGAGGCGTGGTGGGAGTGGCGGGAGAGCTCCACCTGAGATAAGCACGCCTGGGAGAAGCGGGTGCTACTAGCAGGTTTCAGCAGATGCTGGGGGTTTTTTCTTTCTTTCTCTTTAGTTAAATGGTAACTGAGATAAGTGGGACTATCAGTGGGTCTGCAGAGTGAGGGTGTCAGAGGGGCTACGATTCCACCCAAAACTCTTAAAGGGACAGTATTAAAGCTGCAGACTGCAGCTGGAGCCCAGCAAAAGGGGTGGTATAAATTGTCAGAGAAGCCACAGGTTGAAAGACTGAGAGAAGGGAATAAACCCCAGGATTAAAAACCCCAGAAAGGGCTCTTCTGTTTTCTTTTAACTATTTAATTTACAATTCTGGGTGGGGCACCTTGAGAGTGGGACACATCAGGCCCAACCATGACCACATGCAAAACTTACCTGATGCAGCTGGAAGTCAGAGGGTCTGTTTTCTTCTGGCTCAGAGAGACATGCACAGATAAAAAAATAAAAAGTGAAAAAAAAATAAAGTTATCTCGCTTAAAGTCTATGATTTCAGTTGGTGACGGAACATCTAGGACACGGGGTGTGGGGGAGGTTAGAGCCCTGGAAGAAATCCCAGCAGAAGTTGCCAGCGGCAAACTATGGTAGGACACAAAAAACACTTCATGACTAATAACGTCAAAGAAATTCAAAGATGTGGCAGGAGGGAGTCGGAACGTACCGTAGTGAAGCAGCGCCGAGCAATAAGAGTAAGTGATTAGACCAAGGAATATCCAGACTGGCTTAGATTTATGTTAGACCTGAGGTAACACCCTCACACAGCCCTTTTTTTAAAGAAAGGGCTTTCAAAAGCTCTGTCCCACCCAGAGATTTAAAAAGCTCCCTCAAGATGCCCTGAGTATGCTCTTAACAAGCCCACTAAATTTAGGCACCCAAAGGCATCACAATGTTATTTTGGTATATGGAAGGACCTTATTATGTTAAAGATGAATTTAAATACTTCAGTTTTGTAATCTGGTAGAGATTAGGATTCCACAAATCACACTGGCATTTTAGACTCCCAGGCCTCTGGTTCAGTGTTCGTCTCCATTTTCCATAGAGGATATCACAAATGACAGAAATTAGAAATGAAAAATCTTGCTGGGTCATTTGTTCATGTCCATCTGTACTTGTTAGCTGGTCCACTACAACTTGCTCTGGATAAGTAGCCAAATCCTGTTTATAGTGCAACACTCATTGGGAAAATACTTGGAAAGTACCCTCCTGAGCATAACAATACCGTGTGGGAACTCCTTAAAGCACAGCTGTCTCCTACAGCTGCCTTCTTCCAAGTCCTAACTAGGGAATGTTGTGATGGGGTATCAAGAAGTGGAAAAAACTTAGACCAGCCAGCATATTGCTCTCATCTGTTACTGAGTTTGAAGCAGGAACAGAGTAATTCAGAAGCTTGACAGACCATTATTTTGTGCCCTGAATACCATTACACAAAAACAGGGAACATTACATTTTCCTGTGTCTGGTGCACACTGGTCTTTAGGTTAAACTCTCAGTTGCTAACTAACCAGTGGTCCCCTTCACTGTATTTACCATTACCCTGTGCATAATCATTCTTTATACTGTATTTGCCTACCCCTCTTGTCAATAACACAGAAAGAGATTAAAAGCATAATTTATTCATAACCTTTCAAGAAAGATTTTCCTTTGAAGGGTTTTTCTTAGGGCAGATTTAACCTCTTGGTTTCTTAGGGTGTAGATTACAGGGTTCAGAACAGGAGTGATCACACTGTAGATAAGGATGATAGCCATGTCCCATTTAGGAGAATTTCCTGAAGAAGGAGGTACATAGGTCAAAATGGCTGCCCCATAGAAAAGAGACACCACTGTGAGGTGAGAAGCACAGGTGGAGAAGGCTTTTCTCCTGCTTTCCTGAGAATGTACCTTCAGGAGGAGGAAGGAGATGATGTAGAGGTAAGAGAGGAATGTGAGGCAAAAGGGACCCACCACAATGCCTCCAGTGATAATGTTCAGAAGGCTCAGGTTGAGGTGGGTGCTACCACAAGCCAAGCTCAGCAGGGGCTTGATGTCACAGAAAAAATGGTGGATGTGATTGGGACCACAGAAGTCCAGTTGAGAGGTCATAACTGAGTGTATCAGGGCATGCAGGAAGCCAGTGGTCCAAGTAACTACTGCCAGCAGAAGGCAGGTTTTTTGGCTCATGACAAGCGTGTAGCGTAGAGGGTTGCAGATAGCCACATAACGGTCATAAGCCATG